GGGCAATTTTGACCAGGCTCCTAGGAGCATTTGTGTGTCTCAGAAAAATGTCAGGGAGGCAAGAAGACAGAATGCTGTGGCCGAAGTCAGGTTTTGTTTTGCAGGCGCAAATGCCTTTGAAAAAGCCCAGTGGGGTGGCCTAGGTCAGCGCCCTCATCCACAGAGCAGGGGGATGAAGCAGCAGCCATCCTCCAGGCATAAAAAAGAACCCTGGCTCTTCAGAAGAGGCACTCCGGAAGATTTTCTTTAAATACCAGGCCTCCTCTAGAAACTGCAAACAGATTGCAAGTTTTCAAACCTCCATCTGTGCCATTTCTCCAGCCCCATCCTCCACTGAAAACCAGGGACACCTGGGTGCCCACTGCCCTCTCCTGTCCAGGTCTGTTACTCTAGCCCCCTCTCCCCCGATCTCTCTATAGGCAGCCCCTCCACCTCTGCCTTTTGCTGGCTGGTTTCCTGGCTGAAGTCTAGACTCACCTCCTAAAAGGAGCGTGTGAAGCTCACAGGTGCCTGAGTCTCTGCCTCCTTATAAACGGGTGGGGAGAGCTGCAGAAACCATGTGTCCCTGCAGGTTGTCCCTACATCAAAGTCAATGGAAAGAGGCAAGAATGCCCCTTTCTTTGCCTGATCCGGTCTCACTTTTCCCAGTTAGGTCTCAGCATGGAAACTCTCACTTTTAATCCACTCTCCAGGGCCTTCCGTCTTCTGAGCCATTTTCCGGCCCCAGGAAAAGCTTCCAAAGCTCCCCCTTCTGTACGTCACAGAAGACAGGCGACTGGAGAGACATAACAACCAAATGCCACGTGTGGACGCTGTTTGGATCCTGATCTGAACAGACCAAGGATGACAGATCATCCCTGAGAAAATGGGGACACGAGTACGGAATGTGTATCCAGACGATATTAAGGAATTCATCCTGATTTTGTCAGGTGTGATAATGACACGGTAGTAATATTAATAGGAAAAGTCCTTATCAGAGATTCCAGCTGAAGAATTTGTGAGTTAAATAAGTCTGAATTTGCTTTTGAAATACTCCAGAAAAAGTAACGGTGGAGATGAATGAGACAGAACTGGCCACAACTTGCTCACTGTTGAAGCTGGGTAATAGGTACATAGAATTCACTACACTGTTCTCAATACTTTTTGCAGGTTTTGAAAAATTCCCATAACAAAAAGTTAAAAACAAAAACTCGCTTTTTAATCTCTGTAATCTTCTCTTTAATTTCCACTTCCCAGTCCAGGGTCCTGGCCCCAATGTGGCTACAGTTTGGGGAGGGGGAGGGGAGGGTGCTGAGAATGTTTCTGCCCTTGGCCTCCCCCTCTCAACTTTTCTCAGTCAGAATTCATCTCTCTCCTGTTTTCTGGAATATTGGGTACCTCTATTTATCACCACGGCCTCTCCCATCTCTCAGTGGGTTAGGTCCCCGTTTATCCCAGAAATGGAATCTTTTACTCAGGAGTTGTCTTGTCCGTATCTGTCACCTCCCTCCAGAGCCGAGCACAATCAGTGTTTGTTCCACTGAACTGGCCCCTTCTGCTCCTCAAATATGCCCACTGCTGGGTCTCTGCTCCAGGGCAGAGCCTTCTCCACAGGCCAAGAGTTCCACAGACAAAGGAGAAAAGGCCATTCAGTTCCATAGACATTTGCAGCGGGGATGGCATCGGGGCACAAAGCCACCTCCCAAGGGGCCGACTGCACCATGTGATGGAGTGAGGCGGGAAGCCTCCATGTCCATAATCACCTGTAGGGGAGCGTGGGCAGTGCTGGGAGCGGGTGCATGGAGGAGACTCTGGCTTCTCCTGTCATTATTATTCCTCACACCCCTTCAAGGCCAGCCGCCTGCATCGCAGAATCAGTGGCACACACCCCCCCCCCCCGCCTGCCCCCCCCCGCCCCCCCCCGCTTTGTGTGCCATGTGCATGCCCTTCAGAGCAGGGACAGGCTGCCGCCTTCCCCAGGAGCCAATTCCAGCTTCCCTGGGAACCATTATTCAGGAAGATGTCACATACTCACCCTCCCTGCCCCAAGAGTCCAGAATGGCATTTGCACAGAGCACAGCGGCAGATCTTTCATTAACAGCCTAGTGAATGACAAATCTGATGGCAGATGGGTCTGCCCACAGAGCAGTGCCCCAGGCCTTTCTCCGTCTAAGTACAAGTGCCTAGGGACCATCAGCCCCACCCTGCCCTTGACCCCGTTGCTAAAATTCCAGCTGTGGGCGTGTGGGGAGAAGTTCAGCTGGGTCTCCTTGGGTTCTGAAGCCAAAGGGTGATGCATGTTGGACTGGCCAGATGACGGGGAAGGTTACAGCCTTCTCTGGTTTCCCTGAAACACTTGGGGGGCATTTCTCAGTTCACTGCTATTTGTCCTTGGAAGTTCTTAGTACAGAAAAGGATCTGCTTATAAAGTGTCTAAGTGGCAAATCGTTACCAATGACTGGACTTGAACATAAAGAGGACAATTCCAGTCCTGTGAGGAAAACCTCCTATGGTTCTGACTAGCCGGGTGAACTTCAGACAAGTCCTGCCCTGTAAAGTGCTGCAAGGGTGTCTGGTGGTTCACCTCTGAGGACCTCCCTGCATGGAGAGCCTGTGGCTGCTGCCACAATTCTAAAAGGAACGTATCCCTCCCTCTTCCCAGCCTCCCTAATTCAAATCATCATCAACGTCTTATTCTTTGATTGCATTTTATTTCGACGTCCACAAGAAAGTTTCCCCTGAGTTGCTCAGTCAGGGCTTCCTTTCCTTAGGAAACCTGGCTGTGTGAGGTCAAGGTGTGTTGACATGGCCAAAGGACCCTTTAATAGGAACAGTGTCTTATGCCAAATGAATACATCACATCCTGGGACAGGGCATCCTTGGAGAGATGGCAGATGGGTCATTTGTCCCAGTTCTCCCAGGGACGGCATAGGAACAGCTTTGCCATCTTCTATTGATTCCAAGACGCACATGTTTGGATCTCTGAAATCAGGACTTGTCTCCCAATCAATGGCATCTTATCATAACTGTCGGTCTGAAGTGAAGGCAGGTGTTCATGCTGCTTCTGCCAGCCATCGGGGCCACCAGCCTCAGGCTGTCTGACTTAGAGTCTCTGCTTGAGGTCCTTTTGGATCACACTGATTGTGCAAATTCACAAAGCATGAGGACCACCACCCGGAGCGCCTATTCTTAGAGGAGGGTTTGTCATCCCGCCCCAAGGGAAAAGGTTGGGACTCACATTCTCTTGCTTTTCCTTTCTCACGGTGGCCTTGTCATGACCCTCTTAGTACAGGTGTTCCCCTTTGTGTGTGGGGGTCTCCTATTGGACCTCCCATCTTGGGCTTTTTATCTTTCTTATTTTTGGTACATAATAATGATGTGTCTTATATTTGATGAAAATATGGTTTCTTCTATTTGATGAAAAAAGTTTGTTACAATATTATATATATTTGAAATGATCCAGGATGCTAATAGAAAAGGAGGTAGACTTTTGAGGAAATGCTTTCATGAGATTAAAATCTCATGTCTCGTCCTAAACCACTTCCCATCTGTGCTGCTCACTAGGCGTTTCCCCCCAGCACATCGGGCCATTGACTAGCCTGGCATCCATCATGGCTCCCCATGACATTTGGGATAAAGGCAGAGGTCTTTGATATGGCAAAGCCTTGCTGGTCCTGCATCCTCTCCAGTCACACGTACACAATCCTCTTATTCTCTCCCCTCCAGCTTTCTTTCTATCTATGTAATTTCAGCCTCCCATGCCCCCTCCGACCACAGAGCCATGGCGTGAGGGCTCTGTAGGGAACAATTCTTTCTCCCTAGTGTGCTTAGCTGATCTCAGCTCAGCATCACCACCTCGTGGATGCCTTCCCTGATTAGATCAAACTCCCATTGCAGGCTCTTACAGTAATTCATACTTTTCATTCCCAGCATATGTCTCAGCTTCAGTTCTACGTTTCTAGAATCTTCTTGATTAATGTTGGAATCCTTCACTGGACTGCAGACTTTGTTAAGGCAGGAAACATGCCTGTTTTCTCTCAGTTTTGTATCTCCAGGGCCAAACCAAGTACCTGGCAGTTGCTAGGTGCTCAGAAACTATTTGAGAATGGGTGGGTGGTTGAATCTGCATATCGCCTGCCTCGGAAGCAGAGAGAAAACTCCTGAAGCCTGGGGCAGTTAGGGGAAGCAGGAAGGCAACAGACAGACGTCTCAGGATACCTCCACTTTTGCCACAATTATGCCCTTGGGCAAATCACATCCTCTCTGTTTCCTCATCTCCAAACTGGGAATAGCATTTACCCTGCTTCTCTGACAAGGGTAGGTTGTGAGTCTGTTAAGACATTTGGGAATGATACATCTTTTCCCCAACCCCCAAGCTTCTAGCACAGCTCTGGGCCCACACTCAGGCTCTGTCTCTACGAGCCGGATGACGGGTGCTCCTCTGGGAAAAGGGTGATAAGACCACACAGTCCTCAGGGGGCATGCTCAAAGCCTGGGGTCAAGAGGGGACCACTGAACCTTGTGCTTCCCAGTCTTAATGTCCACCCTCTTCAAAAACTCTCATGGAGTTTCTCTGACCTTTCGTGGCCCAAAGCCCTAAGTACGCAAGAAAAGGAACCTTCTTGCTGAGTCCTGTTTGGTATTCATTCCCAACACAAGGTTGAGGCCCTTAGCCAGAGGGAGACAGCTGGAGAAGGGTGAGATGCGGCCCTCCTCCTGCTCTGTGGGCTGAGCTTCAGACAGGCTCAGGCTGGACAGCAGCCATGACTGTGCCCTCTAGGACAGGGGTGGGCAAACTTTTTGACTCGAGGGCCACAATGGGTTCTTAAACTGGACCGGAGGGCCGGAACAAAAGCATGGATGGAGTGTTTGTGTGAACTAATATAAATTCAAAGTAAACATCATTACATAAAAGGGTACGGTCTTTTTTTTTTAGTTTTATTCATTTCAAACGGGCCGGATCCGGCCCGCGGGCCGTAGTTTGCCCACGGCTGCTCTAGGACATACTCCTCCATCATCTGAAGGTAGGAAGCATTCCATCCATACCTGGCAGAATATGTGAAGTTGCTTATTTTACCGCTGGGGTCTGAACTTTAATATTAAGATGGATATTTATATCAAAGTCTCGCAATTTCTTCCCGTATACCTCATCTTAGAGTCAGGCATCCCGAGTTTCTGTTTCATCTGCATCAACCAGCTATGAATGACCCCGAGTAAATCATTTTCCCTCTTTGAGTCAATTTCCTTATCAGATAAATGAAAATAATAGTAACAGCAATAATAATGCCACCGACTTTCCTGTCTTGCAAAGTTATTTTAGGGATCAAAGACCTAAGGATCAAAGATGTAAGTGCTTGATAAGTGATGTCAATGCAAATGAGAAGTAGTATTTTCTTTGTGCATTTAAAATCCCTCCTTCTGAAGCAGGAAAGCACCAAGCTGACTTACTATTACCCCCGGTTAGCTCAATATTACCCAAGAGCTGCCACCCCCAAGGCATATAGGTGGGAAGTGAAATGTGCACAAATCCATGATCACACATCAGTTATCAAGCATTTCCCCAGAGCCAGCTGTCCTCCCTCTAGAGAAAGATACATTGAAGGCTGTTTATTCTCAATTGTTTTAACAGCTTGGCTGCCCTGCCAATCCCCCATCCCAGAAAACCAGGTTGGTGAGAGGAGGTGCAGAATGAATAACTCGCTAGTACCTCTGTGATTCTGGGTTCTGGGAAGGGGGTGGACGTCTATGCTACAGACACACATCCCTGCAGGATAACACTGACGCCCAGCAGGGCCGTTGGAACATGCTTCTGCAAGCCATCCAGGAGGCGTTGCTGACGAGATTCTGGTCCTCAGAGCTCCAAGCCGGCCAAGACTTTGTCGCTGCCTGGTCTGCTGTGCAGCTCCGCTAGGGGCTCACGGGCGTCCCGGCAGAACACAGAGCCCAGGCCATCTGTGCTCCCACTCTCCAGCTGGCAGCTGCCCACCAGCTCCTGGAGCCACTGTAGGTCTGCTGAGAGCTCCTGCCTCAGAGCTTCAAACTGCACGTGCAGATGGTCCAATTTCCTGGCCATGCTTCCGAGGCTGGAGCCGGTGGCCTGGATGTCTCTTCGCAGGAGCCTCTTCAAGGACTCCACTTTGCGGAACTCGTACCTGAGCTGGGACAGGTCATGCCGGGCACTCTCGCTCTCCTCTCGGTACCAAGCTTCCTTCTCATTGAAGATGGAAACCAAAGCTTCCACATCGTCCTGGATGGTGTCATGGGCCCCTGCCAGGGCATGGCATCCCTGGTCGACCCAAGCCACATCCTCCATCACATGAGCAAAACGCTCAAAGTTGACGTAGGTGTTGTTGGGGGGCATGCTGGAGTGGCATTTGAGGGTGTACTCTCTCAGGCGCTTGGTCTTCAGCTGGGTGGGCTCTGTCTTCCGCTGTTCTGGGGCTCTGGCTTCTCCTTTGGACTGGTGGGTGTTTAGACAGAAGAGCCAGAGTTAATTTGACTCCTGCTCCAAAGGGCAGTCCGAGCTGGAGGCAGAAGGCACACAAGCAGCCTCTGGCATTCACTGCATGCGCCAGGCCACGTGGAGGACCAGGGTGGGATGAGCACCCCTACAGACTATCAGAAGGCGAGGAGTACAGGGGTGCTGCCTGCATGCTCACTTCAGGGCAGGGTGGCCCGCGGCATTAGAGGGTCTTCACACGCATAGCATTTAGGGCGCTCACACAGACAGGCAGGCGGCAGCACTCTGCAGGCATCTACTCAAGGCCAGGAGCACGCAGGGCCAGGTCTCACAGTGGGCGGCGGAGTGGCCTCTTGCCTTCAGGGCCAGTCAGCCGCCTGGACCTTGCAACACTCAGCAGGCTGAGCAAGGAGGCAGCCCAAGAGACTCCCTAGCTCTGTGCCTTGAGCCCACCCCAAACCTGGAGGGCCCTTGGCCTTCCTCATCCTTCAGTGAGCAGAGGAATCTGACCTATCTGGAGCACTCCAGCCCTCCCCCCTATACCCCTCAGATCATCCTCGCCAACTCTCTCATTTAACAAACAGTTCAAGGGAATTAGAAGTCCTACTATGTCCCTGGAGTACACATCTGCTCAGTTAACAGAACTAGTAGGGCCAGAGTCCCAGTCTCCTGATTCCCACCGCCCCAAAGGGCTTTTCATAGCACTTTACTGTGACTAGACCACAAAACCTCTGGAAAACCAGCAGCTGGAAGCGCAATTACAAAGCAGGTCAGGCAGGGAGTCGCCTTTGTGCCCCTGTCCTCCCCAGAGGGAACGGAATTGCCCACAGAGGCTCTTCCCACCAGGCCTCCATCTCGGAGCCCCGTTCCCTGAGGTCTCACGGTGCCTGAGAAGCCAGGTGACTGGTTTAGTGTCTTCCTTACTCAGAGCCCCCAAAGTCAGAAGGAGCCCTCGTTACAAAGCTGAGATTTTTCATTGTTACCGATCTCTCTCTACAACTGGGAACAAGAGTGACACATCATCCGACAAAGAACACTTTGTAAGATGGCCCTAGAGAAAAAGGGTTACAACTAAGGTTTGTGAGGGTTGCATTTTATAAGTCACCTGAACCCATGAAATAAAATCTTAAACCTATAAACCTATTTGAAAAAGGCCCAGAACCTTGGGGCCTTCCAACTAGCTTTCATCTGTGCCCATGGGTCAGTATTTCAAGGGTCCTCAGCATCCAGCCACCCAGCCAACCCTGGCGACAGAGCGGAGACCTTCCTGCTCACTGGAACACATCACTGTGCCCTTACCGTGATCCAGGGGTGTCGGAGAGCCTCTTGGATTGTGAGCCGCTTCCTGCAATGAGGACCAGAAACAGAGGTGACCCATGAGGACAGAAGCTGAGAGCAAAGGTCTTCATTCTTACTCTTCTTAGACTAGCATTTTGGCATTCTTTGATCACTGCCATCAAACCAGAATAATGGGGGATGGGGAACTGGCTGAATTCTCTGCACTCCAGAGAAAATGGTCCAGACTGACTCCTCTGTAGAGTGACAATACATAAACCCTCATCGTTGGTCCCAAAGTGGAAGGGCCTAACGCCACACTATAGGAGAGTCGTAAGTGCTCTTTTGAGCTTCCCACTTTCCCTTGTTAAACCTTTGGTCTCTGTTTTCCTGTTTGCCTCCCAGATCCCTTCTCAGCTCTGCCTTCACTGTACCCAGGTAGGGTGCTGCTGCCTAGCACTGCCCTTAGCTGGAGAAATCAGGCGCCTGTACTGTAGAGGATCGCACTCTGGCTCTCTCCAAAGTCTGTAGGACCAAGAAGCCATGACCTTGTAGAATCTACAGACCTTACTCCTGCCCCAGATAGGCAATGCTCCGAGCACCTAACTCCCTACAATTCCCTGCCCATCTCCCACTGTGACCCCACAGCCACAGAGCTCACCCTCGGTCCTGAAGAAGGGATAGGATGACTATGTCTCCTATTCTCCCACTTTTTGGCCTCTCTAAGCTCACCTCCCCACCTGAATTGGTTTGAAACCTGCTGCTTTCCTTTTCAAATTCTAGATCCTGGTGCTTTGGGTACAGACTGCACAAGATAATGAGTCCCAGAGAAACCCAGGCTGACTTCCAAACACACACACAGACACAAATACTGCACACACACAGATACACACTGTGCACACACCACATGTAGTTATTTGCATTTCAGCAGGAAAAGAAGCAGAAAGACTTGAGCAAACAAGATGAACGCCGGTCCACACTTCTCAGCACCTGCCCATATTAGGCCACAATGGCACAGATGACAGCCAGTGATGAAGTGGGGACAGACTGACATGGGGAAGGGCAACAGGTGCAGGTCAGTACCTCAGAAGCCCGTGCTCTCTCTGTCCTCTTACCGGGTCTCTTTAACCAGAAGCTTCCGAATGAAGTCCTTGGCCAGCTCACTGGTCTGACTGAAGAATTCCTCATCAAAGTCGTAACTCACCGCTGTGATATTTGCCAGTGTCTCCTGCTTCGTGTCTCCCAGGAAAGGGGATGCTCCACTTAGGCTGAGCACACAGAGAGAGAACACGTGACTACAGGAAAGTAGATGAATAGGGGGTGATGGACTCAGGGAACCCTGACTCATACGATTGCACGGGGTTGGGAGCTCCCAGCAACACTGCCTGACCCCTCTGGGCAGCCAGTCAGCAGCCTTTTCGACTGAGTCCAATTCAATACCCTTTATGGAGCTCTGACTAAGCACTTGATGGAAACTGCATCTCCAGGAGACTGGAAAGAGGAAGGGAGAGAAGCACAGCAGAACCAAGTAGAATATAATAGAAGGACAGGCAAAGGACTGTGGGAGCACAGGATGGAGGGGAGGCCTAGTGCAGGCTTCATGGGAGAGCTGACACTGGCGTCAGTTGTGCCATTAGGGACTAGAAGGGGGTGTGAGGTTCCCCTGCAAGGTTTGTGAAGGAGGCGTCATTTAAGTAGTGACTCCTGAATCTCCTGTCTCCTAACACACATGCCAGTTGCTTATGGGAAACCTCTACCTAGAGGTGTCATTTTCCCAGAAGTCACTGTGCCCGAACCTCCCTCCTTGAACTCCCTGCCTGGATTAATGATGCTACTTCACAAATGCACCCAAGCTGGAAACACAGGGGTCACCTCTGATTCTTCCTTCCATTTCCTCACCTCATCCAACTGGTCAGAAAGTTTTGTTGGTCAAATATCTCTTGAAAGTCATCCCCATCCACACTGCCATTTTCTCAGCATAGTGCACGAGAAAATATTTGACATTTCAATCTTAGGTTCAACCTAGGTAAGTTCCTCAGCTTCTCTGATCTACAGTTTTCTTGTCTATAAAATGAAGAAAATTAAGTCTCCACCTCACATGATTGTTGTGAGGAGTAAATATGTATATAAAATGATCCATACAATCATGGCCCTCATAAACATCTGAAATTGGTGGCCATTATTATCGTCGTCGTTAGAACACAAAGAACCTTCTATGGCTCCCCATTTTCTCTAGGAGCGATTTTCAACCTTTCTTACCTCATGGTACACATAAACTAATTACTAAAATTCTACAGCATGCCAAAAAATATATTTTTGTTGATCTGATAAAAGGTAGGTATAACTTTGATTCAATCACACCAGACAGCTATTGTTGTGTTGGCTGTTGTCATTTTTTAATTTGACAACCTCAGGGAAAAGGGGTCAGTGCCCCTGCCTAACTAGTCGGGCATTGCATGTTTTAAAAATGCTTGTGGTGCACCAGTTGGAAATCATGCTCTATAGGATCACATCTAAACTCCTGAGCAAGGCATCAGGAGTTAGTCCCTAACACATTCCTTATACATTTCACCACATTTAACATGCTGTTTCCTTCCTGAGCAGGACATTCCTTCCCTCCCTTTATACCTGGAGAATTAACCTCATTCTGTACAGTCCAGTTCAAATCAAGTCAATCAATCAAGCTCCTTCTCCTCCCCCAAACCCATTAAACCTTCTGAAGCCCCAGCAGACCATTGCCTCTCCCATCTGTGTCTCACAGAGGCGGGTTCATACTTCCACCATAACCTTGGTCCCACTGGGTGAGAATCAGCTACCTGGAGTCATTCGCCACCCCACCCCAACACAGGGAGCTCCAGACTAGCAGGGCAGACTCTCCATCATGTCACTATCCCAAGTGCCTGGCACAATGCCCACCACGGAGCAGGCACTCAAAAAACTGTATGGAACTCAAATGAGCTACAAGAAGTCTATGTGCCCTGTACACACTGGAATTCTTTAACATTTCAATGTGGGCACCAGAGTTCTGAAGAAACCAATGTTTCAAGAGCCAACATCTGACTATTCTGGCTCTGATTTGGAACTATAGAGCAATGCATCAAATTCTCTCTCTTTGCATTGAATTCCTCTGGGGCTTTTAAAATATTTGGTGTCCAGATCCCACCCCTAGTGATTCTAATTTAATAGATCTGGGGTAGGGCCTCGACCGTGGTGGTATCAAAAGGTCTTATGTGCAGTCAGGGTTTAGTCCCTCTCTGCAGCTCAAGGGGGTCCCCCACATTGTACAGAGCCCCCAGTCCAAGTACTGCTGGTCAGAAAACTAGTTTATGGGGGTGTTGGGAGAATGACCCCATCAGCTGTTGAGTCTGGCTGTGGGCTGACTCTCACCCAATGTGCCACAGAAATAGCATTTTCCAGGTGTGCTGTGAGGGGAAACTGGTTGGGAAGCACTGATGGAATGAACAACCACTAATCAGCCATGTTCTAGGTGCCAGAGCAGTGCCAGGAAATTTGCACATGTCAGCTTATTTAACCCTCACAACACACCCCTGGTGGGACATTCGTGATTCCTATTTTTCTGATGAGAAAAACAGGTCCAGAGAGAGTTAAGAATCTGCCAAGGCCACGGAGATGGAAAGTGTCAGATCCACTACACGCAGAGCTGTGCAGGAAACCTCTACTTGAGCGACTTAAAACTTCAGGACAGAAAGGAGAAACTCCAGGGAGAAAGGAGGAGGGAGAATGTGAGAGCTGGGGAAAGAAGGGAGAAAGGGTGAGAAGGAGGCAGGATCAGGGAGGGCATAATGACGTGAGAGCTGTCATCACAAGGCTTCTGAGTGAAAACTGACACTCTCACAGCAAACTCTGGTCTGGGTGAAGCAGAGAGGTGGGCCCCGGCCACGGTGGGGATGCAGACACAGGCTGCACAGTGTGGAGGGCCACAGGCTGCTCTCCTGCCCAACTCCAACCCCAAAGTCAAATGTGTGGAATGAAGCTAAGAGGGCTTAGCCTCGGGTTTGCTGTGTGGCTCGAACACATCTGGTTTATGATGGGTGCTCAGTGTCAATCTGTCTGATTGCCCCTCTCTCAATCCTCCTGCTTTCCCCAGGTCTAAGCTGGGACACCCGGAATCAGGGATACTCACAGGATGTAGGTGATGACGCCTATGCTCCTGCAAAACAAAGAACAGTCAAGTCAGGGCCTCCTGGTTCTAACCCCGAACCAGCAAGGGACTCCCCGCATGGTTCTCAGGGGAAGTGGCCACTTGCCCCTCCACGGTGGCTTCTGAATGCCATCTCGAGCCCCACAGTCCTCTCCATCCCACTCTTCAGCAGCACCCAGGGAAGCATGTGGAGTCATCACACTCTGGACATTGAGTCCGAGGACCCACGTTCAAGATCAGACTCCTGCACTTGCAGGCTGTGATTGGGGCAAGTCCCTTAACACTTCTGAGTCTCTCTCTCCTCATACAGTGAGGACAATAATAACTACCTCACAGAACTGCTGAGAGGATTTTAGAAAACCAACTAGTCAAGGGGCTCAGCCAACTATAAAGCACTGTCCAAATGAAACAAGTCCTGTCTGTGCAGAGAATCAATCACTGCGGTATCCCCAGGCCCACCACAGAGCCTGGAACACGAGGCTCTCAGTGTCACTTGGCTGACTGACTGAAAGAGCTGTTACTACATTATCTCGATCACACCCGTGGCAGGCTTCAGGGGTGGATCCTGGACCTCGGCCTCAGCTCTCCCCTTGTTCTCTGCCTCTGCCATGTTCTAACTGGCCTCATCTCCAGGCCTACCTGCCTCCAGCTGCCCAGGCCTCAGACCCAGCACTCGTGGAGCAGCCAGAGTCTCTGAAAGGAGAGCGTGGAGAAAGGGGTTTTCACGGTCAAGAGGGACATCAGCCAGAGCCAGGGTCTGAGGCCTTCTGCCTTTGGGAGGATCCCTAGACCACCTGGGTGGCCTATACAACTTACCACATGTCAGCCTCCAGGCCCAGGGGCTCATAGTTCACAATCTCTGGAGCTGCAAGAAGCCATATGGAAGAGTCAGCAGGAGTATGGAAATGGAAGAGATGGCTGTAGGGAATTTAGGGAGTTTGGTACCAAATGTCTCCATCCTGAATCCCCACTAAGGAAAGTCAGAGCAAAGGAAGGGGATAATCCAGCTCTAAGAATTTTGAGGAAGTTAGTTGCCTGTTATCCTGGTAGAAACCTTTTACAAAGAGGCCTTGGTAGTGAGGAGAGGGAAAGCACAAAGGAACATGTGGAAAAGGAAGAGGAGGGTGGGGAGAGGAAGATGCAAGAAGGGGAAATGGGCCTAGTGACAAGGCCTACTTGAGAACTCTCTGGTGGAAGCCAGTCAGGTCAGCACTGGAAGGTGATGGAGAAGATGGCAGAGAGGGAATACACATTCCTCCGAGTCTGGTCTGAAAGAGGGTACCTCCCACCTGAGGGTCAGAAGGACATTCTGGGGTCCAGATGATGAACTTGAGGTGCCTGAGGGGCATCTGGGGGAAGGTGTCCAGGAAGAAGCTGGGCATTGGGGAGTGGGCCAGAGCTATCAAATTTGGAGTCATCGTATAGGTGGAAACAGGAATTGTGCAAATGATGCGGTGACCAGGAGAGGGTGCGGAGCCTAGGGAAGAAGACTCTACCGAGAAAAAAAGGAGATCTCTGCAGCCCAGAGATCAAGCAGACAAGCACTGGCAAGTGAGTATTGAATTTCACACTCACTGCAGTGGCCAAAGAATGTCCTGAGTGTGGGGAGTGGAGATAAGTTTGCAGACAACTCTTTAAAAAAAAAGGTTGCCTATGAAATGGGAGAGGAAGAGAGGGCAGAGGCTAGAGCAGGGAGAAGGATTGAGCCTGTTTCACCACTAATGGAATAAGATAGGGAGTGGGAAAGGTTAAGTTTGTTGACCTAGAACAATATCAAAGCCACTGCATCTACAGGGTGTGCCCACCATTCCACCCTCCCACCTCTCCCTACTTGCAGAAACAGGAAGCCATTCTTTTGGCTTTGCTTATTTTTCAGCTTCATAGAAATGATGGCATACTGCATGTGATCCACTGTCATTTGATGTTTTCCCCCTCACTCAACATTATGCTTCTAGCATCCATTGAATGATCATCCACGATCTTTCATTTTCTCCACTATCTAATTAATCATCCATTGTGTGGAGATATATACATACATATATATATATGTGGATATATATATATCATTTTTTTACTTATTCTCTTCTCAGTGATCATTTGGACGGTTGAGCACTCTTATTATTAGAACAGCATTTCTATGAACTGTTTTTGGTACATGTATCCCAACACACACGTGAAAGATGTTGTCTAGGACAGTGGTATTCAAAGTGTGGTCCACAGACGAATAGTCTGCAAATTGTCACTGGTCCAGACAAGATACATACAGAAATTGGGAGTAAGCATTTAGAGACACATACAGCACTGACATTCAGTGTGAGAAGCGCAACTCATTTTCTAGTAGTTTTCTCTATTCTAGTAGTTATCTCTATTATGTATCATTTCTATCCTCTATGCGCTTTTGTTTGTCCATTTTTGTGTTTCTTTCCGTTGTTTTTTTTTCTTATTGTTCACACACACACACTTATATTTTTGTAATGGCTACCTTGAGACTTTACTATGTCTACCTAACAAATGCTAACAGAAGTCAACATTTTAACCTTCCTCTACTAATATAAGACCCTAATTTCAAGCATTCTGTCCTATCTAGCATTATTTTCTTCAGTTTTTAGTTGTCCTTTTTTTACCCTCATAATTAAAACTTCATCATAATTTTAAATAGAAAATGTTTATGTTTGCATAATGTTAACTGATTTATTTGTTCCTATTACTTCTTACATTGAGATGTCCCTTCAGAGGTCATTTTCCTTAATTCATAAGTATGTCCTTTAGAAATTCCATTACAAAAGGTCTGCTGGTATTTGATTATGTTTTGTTTTTATTGTTTTTTGCTTTGTTTTACCTGAACCTTTTACCCTCATTCTTCTTTTATATATATAATGCTTCACAAATATGCGTGTCATCCTTATGCAGGGGCCATACTAATCTTCTCTGTATCATTCCAATTTTAGTATATGTGCTGCCGAAGCAAGCACTACCCTGATTCTTGAAATGTAATTTTCCTGGGTACACAACTATTGTTTTTTTCCTCAGCTCTTTGTAGATAATATTCTACTGGACACTGGCTTCCATTGTTGTTTTGTTTTAAATTCTTTATTGTTGAAAGTATTACATATGTCCCCCTTTTCCTCCATTGACCTCTCCCAGCCTGCCCCTCTCCCCGAGGCCTTCATCCCCCTATTGTCTGTGTCCATTGGTTATGCTTATATGCATACAAGTTCTTTGGTTGATCTCTTACCTCCCCCTCCCCCACCCTCCCCTGCCCTTGTTGTTTTGAGAAGTATGCCGTCAGTCTAATTACTGTTTGTTTCTTGTTTTGTAGGTGATCTATCTTTTCTCTTTGGCTGGTTTTTAAGATTTCTTTGTCTTTGGTACTTTAGAGTTTAACTATAATGTGGCTAGGTATGGATTTTTCTTTTGTTTTCTGTTTGAGGTACACTGTCCTTTCCGTTTCTGTTTTTTACATCAGTTCTGAAAATTCCCAGCTATTCTTTTCAAATGTTGCCTCTCTATTGTCTCTGTTCTCTCCTCTGAGATTTCAAATAGACCTATGTTAGGCTTTCTTTTTTTATCCTCATTCTCTTATTTTCTCATATTTCTAGGTCTGTCAGTTTGTGGTACTCTAGCTAATTTTTTTCAGCTCAGTATTCCAATTCTTCAAGTCTCTCCTCAGCAGTGTATAATCTGCTGTTTAGTCCATTCATTGAGTTTTAAATTTCTACAAGTATAGATTGTATTTCTTAAAGTTCTATCTGGTTCCTTTTAGAATTTGCCTGGTCATCTTTGACACTCTCTTGTTGTTTACTCATTCTTGTGATTCTACCTTATATTTCTATATACATTCCATTTATTTTATAGTCAACATCTGATCATTTCAATATCTTATGTCTTTGAACATCTAAATTTTGCTAGTCTCTGATTGAAATACTGATATGTGTACTTGCTTTTAGGAGCAGTCCTTCTATTGAACTTGCTGCTCACTGATCCAGTTCTAAATTCATCTCATTGGCTTTTGGGGTGAGCCAGATTATGCTGAAGGAGTTACTACCCTTATTCATTTCCTATGAGTCCAAAATTGCTTTAAAAATAATTTTTTTTTCAAGAGGCCAGTTTTGTAGTGGGAGGGCTTTTGGAAAACCAGGTCCACCACACTCCAGGAAGCTGACAATAAATTTTTAACCCGGGTCTCGGGTTGAAATTTCAAAGAAATCATGGAAATAAGGAAAATGGTTATAACCTGTTTCTCAGGAGAGTTGGGCATCAGATTTTGGGCAGGGGCTTAGAGAAGCCACCCTACATATCTGTAAGGTACACAGAAAACCAGTTTTAGGCTGGAACTGGCTCATACTGTCTCACAAGAGTCAGCTGTGTGCATCTCTTCACAACTCTGATTTCAGTGACATGTTCATAGCTTGAAATTGGAAAATACTAGAAATTAGGGTTTTGTTTTGAGACCCATTTGTTAGACATTTATCAGCATATGATTGGGCAAAACACTCCACAGTTTGGCCCTACTCATGAATATCCCACGTACATAACTAGTCTGTGTGAACTCTCTGCTCCATCCAGAGTGAGCAGTGAATTGTCCCTGATAAATGCACTAATTCTGGCCCTATCCCCCTGCTATGGATGACTGGACCTGGGATGGGCTCCTCCCCTACCCTGGCTCCTTCCCCACCCCTCTCAGACACTTCCCCCACCCACAACAGCCCTTGTCCCTCACTGGTTCAAGGCCCTGACTGATCCCATTGACTTTGCTAGATATCTTGTTTGAACAGTCTTTGAGGAGCTGCATTCAGAATGACATACCCAAGGTCACACCATGAATTGGTGGCAGAGCCAGCTTGAACCTGGAGCATAAGACATCTATTATTGAACTTTTTTCTGAGATAGCAATTGCTGCCCACCATTCACATATGTAGTATGTGAAGATTTAAAATTACCTCACCCTCTTGCATTCCTGTAAATAAGCAATAAATGGTTCAATTAGAAAGTCAGGGCAATGATTGGCCATGAGATAGGATGTGATTAATTGCTCTGCCACCAATTCATGGTGTGACCTTGGGTGTGTTATTCTGAATGCGGCTCCTTACCATCACTGTGTCTGTCCCTAGTCCTCACCTAATATCTCCCATACAAAAGATGCAGAATAACCATTGGTTGATCTTAACTAAAATCCTCCAGTCCTCCAGTTCCACATTTGTAAAACTAGACCAATGATCTGCAAAGAGCCTTCCAGAACTCTTATTTGGTGGCTTGATGTCTTGTTTCCACAAACTGTAAGCTCCTTGGGGCAGGGTCTCCTCAGAGAGACAAACCAGTATAATGGAAAGAGGATAGGCTTTGATGTTTAATGTATCTGTATTTGAATCTCAGCTCCACCATCTACTGGTTGTCTTGCCCTGAACAAAGCTCTTGATAGAGGAAATAATTAAATCTGCTTCACGAGGTGGTTTGAGGATTAACTGAGATAATGTCTGTAGAGCACCAGGCATAGTACTTGGCACCCACGCCCGCCGGTGGGTCTGTGGGGCCTCTGCAGCACCATGCCATCGTGGCTGCAGCGCTGGTAAGTGTGGCCTAAAAATCTATCAGAGTGAGTGACCTGACACATTCTGTCTTCTTTTTTATTTAGACTGTGGTCAGAAGTTTCAGCCCCTGGGTTTTGGGGAGACCATGCCTTCCCTCCATTTTCAAGACCACTCTAACTCCCAAAGCAGAGAGCAGTGGTTCTCAAATCTCATTCCTTTCCCCTTTACAAGGCTGTTTCTTTATGACCCCAACCGGCAGCCCAAGCCCCATGAGGGGGTTTCTGAGGCCTGGGCCAAGAGTGGGAGAAACAGAGGGAAGAGAGAGCCGCCTGGGCCCTGCTGCAGGTGGGCCTCCTGTGCATAAATAAAGGACAGGCATACAAGAGAGGCGAGTGGGAGGCTCTGGCATCCGGCAGATGATTTCCCTTTTTCTTTTCAGAGAAAGTTGAATTTACAGGAATGCAAGAGGGTGAGGTCATTTTAAATCTTCACAACAAACTCATCTAAGAACAGGAGATGGGACCAGCTCTGGGAAGGTTTAACTCTGCAAAGGCCTGTAGCCCCTCCTGGCCTTCCCAAGCCAACCCTGGACCCTCACCCAAAGGCCCAGCAAGACATTTCCTTTCCCACCCATTGAGTTTCTAGGGGGTCTCGAAGGCATCATCTCGTAGCCCGGAAGCCATAGCCCCAGACACCGGATTGTTACTGGGATTTCTTTACCTTTTGATATCAGATTCTTCACTGGGAGAGAAATAGCCCTAAAACTCACCAACAAATTCTGGTGTGCCAAAAATGTTCTTAAATTCAACTCCATCTTCTATTTCGTGAGCAAGGCCAAAGTCAATTAGCTTGATGTGTGGAATGGGAATATTCTTGTCTAACAACATAATGTTTTCTGGCTGGAGAACAAAAAACAAAAAAAAAGAAAAGGAAGAAAAAAAAGACGGTAATTAAAGCCCTGTTTTGTGTTTTTGCTTTGGGGCTGGGGTGGAGTTTGGTGTTGTTTTTTCAGAGACTAAAACAACATAAATTATTCTTGTTTTTGTGTCCTCAGTCTTCTCCTGTGAACTCAAAAACAGGCACAGAACTGAGGGCAAGGCCTGGGTTTTACCAAACCTGCTGCTCCTGCTGCTCTCAGCACAACTGGAGACTGGCTTTAATACCTTTTCTGTTTCTGAATGGCAGATTCCTTCACTGCAGTGCCTCTGTTTTCTCATCTGTCAAATGGGGCCAGGGAGCTACCTGCAGCATTTCCCATAAACAAAACCACTCCCTCGGTTTACACTTGGTTAACTGGCCTTTGTCTCTCTGACCACCTCTTTCGCCTGGCAGGCCAGCTTCCTGTTGACAACACTCTTCTCCTCTAGACTATGGGTGTGGCTCACCAGTCTCTATGTGTTTAACTAATTTTGGGCCCCAGCAGGGCACAGAAAAAAAATGGGCCTGATTTCCAGGGAAAATACCACAGTCCAAGTTATTTCTAGCAAATGGCTGTCAGATCTGGCACAACAATGTGGAGGTGCGATAGTTAGGGGACAGCCCTACCCTGGCCTCACACACTCTGGCTCCCAGTGAGGCTAGAATGGGATCTTGAGCCTACTCTTCTCACTCCCACTCATCTACTCCAATACCCAGGGGGCGAGCAGGTCCGTCTGCTTCATTCTTTCTTCCCACTCCCCACCATGACTCTCCTAGACTCCACTGGAAGTAGAACATCCTGAGAACACATATCCACACAAAAACTTGTACACGAATGTCACAGCAGCATATTCATGATAGCCCCAAAGTAGACACAAGTGTCCGTCAACTGATGAGTAAACAAAATGTGGTGTATCCATACAGTGGAATACTATCCTAATATATAAAGAGCCAGGGTCCATCACGACCTAAACATCTGGATGGATGACTGAACACCAGGCTAGGGTCCTGGCCGGTGTGACAGGAGTCAGTCCTGGGTCCCGGCTGCCCACGCCAGGAGTCAGTCCTGGGTCCCAGTGGCACAGTGGGAGTCAGTCCTGGGTCCTGGCCACTCACGGCACAGCAGCGGGAGGGAGCGGTGGGAACAGAGGCATGTTGCCATCGGACTGGCCTCTGGGTTCCTCCCCCTGCCCACAGGCTCTGGGTGACCAGAGCCATGCTGCCATTGGACTTGCCTCTTGGTCCCTCCCCCCACCCGCAGGCTCTGGGGAACCAGAGCCATGCTGTGATCTGGGAAACTTGGTCCCTCCCCCCGGCCAACAGGCTCTGGGAAACTGGAGCCATGCTGCGATCGGACTAGCCTCTTGGTTTCTCCCCCGCAGCCCGCAGTCCTGGGGAACCAGAGCCATGCTGCGATGGGACTGGACCCTAGCGAAGGGGTCCCAGATTGTGAGAGTGTGCAGGCTGGGCTGAGAGACCCCCCAAGTGCACTATTTTTCGTGCACCAGGCCTCTAGTCTAATATGATAGTATGCTAAGTATCCGTCTGTGATGCGCACTGACCATCTGGGGGCAGACGCTCAAAGCAGGAGCTGCTGAGCTGCGGTGACTTGGCAGCGACGGTTCTCGGGTGACACACCCTGAGAGGGAGCCCGATTCCTCGCGGGGTTGCACGATTCCACCTTTGGCCATGGGTTATGTTATTGCTGGAGTACTGTCAGCCCCAAATCTGGTTTACTGCACACTTGCATTTGTGTTCCACACCCTGTATGACATCAACTTTGCAGAGTGCCCTCTCACACTCTGAGACCCCTTGGGGGATGTCGGAGAGCCAGTTTCGACCCAATCCCCACAGGCCAAGCCAAGGGACCCCACCCGCCAGAGGGACCCCACTCACTCTACAGATGCCCTTAGAGCCAAGGCACCACACCAGGTGCAGCAGACCAGGGAGGTTGGCTTCAGGACATGTCCTGTCGTAAGTGTTTCCCTCCACGTCCTGCGTGGTTCAGGGTTCGGGTCTGGAAGTGGAGCCGCACACAAATGAAATAGAAAAGACACAAGATAATTTGGGAATATGGGGGACCAGGCGAGCAAGTCCAACTCAGGGAGAAGGACTTCCACTGTGCTCAGGCCTCACCAAGCTTTTTATAGTGAGGAGTAAACAAGGTAGTGATTACCATAGTTACACAGTTCTTGTGAGTTTCACTTGTTTTGACCATGGTTACACTTCCTGCACTTCCTCATCCCATTAGCTTTCCCAGATAAGATCTAGGGAGTGTTAAAAGGTCAAGCCTAATTATGCTAAGAGGACTGTGCCCTTTAAGCTAGGACTTGTTTGTGACTTTGCCAGCAGGCCAGTCCGAGGCTTAACCCTATATCAGTTTCCCACATGTCCGGAGCCATCTTGCCCAGTCCCACCCCACCGGCCACCTTCTAATTAATTTCCTTTCAATGTGCATGAATCCGTGCACTGGATCACTAGTTCAGCCATAAAAAAGGAATGAAGGCAAAGAAAAAGAAAAGGGAGGTAGTGGCAGGGGCAGCGTTGTGGTCCAGTGGCGCAGGGAGAGACCCACTGGTGGTCCAGTGGCCGAAGCAGTGGAAATGTCAAGCTCCCATGGCCTCAGCAGCAGCCCACCCGGTGCATGGCAGCTGGCCTGGGTGCAATCGGCAGTGAGAAGGTGTCCTCTGCAGTCCCACCTTCTGCCCCCGTAGCCAGGCAGCACCTCTGGAGCCAGAACGCACCTCCGTGCTCCTCGCAGCCTCTGTGGCTGCAGCTCTCCTCGCACACACCATGACAGAGAAACACAAAAAGTCCTTCAGCCAGAGCCTGCCCGGGTGGGAGCTCTTCATCTACAACCACCGACCGAAGTCAGGATCATTCACCGACCACTAGGGAGTTCCTGGAACGCACGGCCAAGAGCAGGAGTTTGATCGTGCTCTTCCACCTAGTCTATTATGTGTTCCTGGCTGGATTCTTCACATTCACAATGTGGGCTATGCTTCAGACTGTCAACGATGGGTTCCAAAATATTGAGACCAGATTTTTAGTTCAGGACTTACATTTTTTTCCAAAACTCGTGTCAGTCATTCAGTGCATCTGATCCAGAGTCCTATAAAGGGCACACTGGAGACCGTGAGACGTTTCCAAAGCCATTTGCCTTAGAATAACAGAACCTCAGGCTGCCCTGATGGAGAACTCTTTGAACAGAAGAGTTCCTACTACCTTACTTCAAGCGTGCCATGGTGTGAATGATACTGACTTTGGCCACTCCAGTGGACACCCTTGTGTGGGAAGCCATCCATTGCCAATACTATCATGAGAGTGCATCAAGGAACTCTGAAGGCCGATGGACCTTGGTATTAGCAGGGCAAATACCATGCACCAATTGTTCTGTTGAGATAGAGGTGGCCCTAAGCAATTTCCTGACCTGATAGCCTCAAAATAAATCTTTACTGATCTTTACTAACCTTTGAGACGGTCTGTCTGCTACCTGGTTGCCGGGCTTTACTGAGGGCAAGATGTGTATCTAAAAGTAAATAAAAAGCAGACTGGCCAGAAGTCGGTGTGCCTCTCCAAGAGGGAGGTCTCCACCTGGCCCCCCATGCCTTCTAAATTCATATTTCTTATCTAGTGTTTCATTTGTGCGCGGCCCCTTCTTCAGATCCTGAACCCCTACTACAAAAGGTTGCGGCACCTTTGTATTCTTGTGTAAATGAGCAAAAAAATTGGGTTAAAGCCTCAAGGAGAACCAAGGAAAGATGGCTTTAGTATTCCTAAGGGCGAAAACAACTCTATCAGCTTATCCTCCCAAGAGAAATATAGACTTAAAACATTTTCCATATTATGAGGAAAACTGCATGTGAGGCATCTGCAGCCATTGGTTGCTATCCAGCTTAGCTTTGGTGCTAGCAGTACCCCCCCAAAAAAAAGTAATAGTTGAGTGCAAGATTATTGAATCACCCAAGTAAAAAAACCCATGATGATCCTGACAAGTTTTTAGGACAGAGTTGCATTCAAAATCACAATGCGGGCGGGGGGGGGGGGGGGATTGGGAGATATCTGTAATACTATTAACAATAAAAAATATTTTTTTAAGAAGAGAAACAAAACAAAATTACAATGTATGTATAATAGGAGCTAGGAGATCTCCACTCTGCTGGAATGCCTTCCTGACAAGCTTCTTCCCCCTCCTCACCAGCTCCAACTCGTCCACACTGGAGTGTCTTCTGTGGGCCCTCGCCCCCAACACACGCAGATACTTGTTTCCACCCAAGGGCCAGCACGGTACCCTGCAGAGAACCAACTGTACTGTGATTACTTCTTTATGTGTCCTCTTCCCACTATGCTGAAGCCCCATGATGGGGGCTAGGGACCTTCCTCTCATTTCCATCCCTAACACCAAAGAATGGCTGGGAATGTGGTAGGGGCTCAGAAATTGTTCACTGGATAAATGAAGGATTGAACCAATGGAATCACAGATGCATCTCTGGTACATTCTGCTTTTAGGGAATCACTATAGATCAGCGGTTCTCAACCCGTGGGTCGCGACCCCTTTAGCAGTTGAACGACCCTTTCACAGGGGTCGCCTAAGACCATCCTGCATATCAGATATTTACATTACAATTCATAACAGTAGCAACATTACAGTTATAAAGTAGCAACGAAAATAATTTTATGGTTGGATCACAACATGAGGAACTGTATTTAAAGGGCCAGAAGGTTGAGAACCACTGCTATAGATGATAGTTCAGAGCCTTCGAACCTGGGTTCGAATCCTACTTGTGCCATTTACCAGCAGTCTGACACCGGGCAAGATATCCAACCTCTGGGGTCTCCCCTATGAATTAGAAATAATAATAAAACCTACCTCAAGAGGATCAAACAAAGCATATAAAGTGGCCTGTGGCTGTTACCAACATCTGTCATTATTTCCTTGATCATGTATCTCCTGCCCAGAGTGAGAGTCTTTATTTTATCA